TGCAAACAGCTGCGCCAACAGATATGGAAATGCATCCGACCCCAGTCACTCTGCCTTATCTTCGAACTGAATGCTCCCACACTATGGTGAGTTTTGTGGTTCTCGATTTTGCTTCCTCCGGTTGCGCGTGTGGTTGTGTGCTGTGTCTCTGTTGTGATTGTGTTTATGGTTGTGTGTTTGTGGTTTTGTGTTGTGGTTGTGGTTGTGGTTGTGGTTGCGTTTGTGATTGCGTTTGTGGCTGTGCTTGTGGTTGCGTCTTTGTCGTTGTGGCTGTGGTTGTGTTTGTGGTTCTGTGCTTGTCATACGTGTTTGTGATTGTGTTTATGGTTGTGTGTTTGTGTTTGTGTGTTGTGGTTGTGTTGTGGTTGTGTTTGTGATTGTGTTTGTGACTCTGTGTTTGTGATTGTGTCTTTGTGGTTGTGCTTGTGGCTGCGTCTTTGTCGTTGTAGCTGTGGTTGTGATTGTCGTTCTGTGCTTGTCATTCGTGTTTGTGATTGTGTTTATGGTTGTGTGTTTGTGGTTGTGTTTGTGCTTGTGATTGTGGTTGTGGTTGTGTGCTGTGCTTGAGGTCCGGCAGGGAACTCTTGGGCCTGGAGCTCGCGGTTGAGGTCCGGCAGAGAACACTGGGCGCGGATGGTCGTGGTTGAGGTCCGGCAGGGAACACTGGGCGCGGACGGTCGCAGTTGAGGTCAGGTGGGGAACACTTCGGTCTGGAGCTTGCAGTTGAGGTCCGGCAGGGAACACTGGGCGCGGATGGTCGTGGTTGAGGTCCGGCAGGGAACACTGGGCGTGGATGGTCGCGGTTGAGGTCCGGCGGAGGAGGCGGAGGAGGAGGCGGAGGCGGAGGACGAGGAGGAGGCGGAGATGGGGCTGACGTAAAATCTAACAACCCTCACCTGACAGGTGGGGAAAAATGCCCCTCCATCACTCAGAATCACGGTGTTTCGTTTTTGTTTATATCATTCCCTCTTCGTTTCATAACTTGGAATCACGGTTTATCCTTTAAAAAAAAAATCTAAATAAAGTGTACCCTAAATAAAGCTAAAGATTTGCCAAAAAAAGATTTCCCTTTCATCTCAATTCCAGGAACCTCTCCCCAATATGAATCTCCCTGTCATTTCCTTTTGGGAATCCGGTGATAAACTTTTATGAGTGTTTCGTGGCCGGGGGGTCCTCTGTTTATTATTCAGAGGTCCATATTACCTGCGAGAACGTTTTTGAAAGCGGATCAAATCGCCGAGGCTCTGGAGAAAGGCTTGGCAAATCCTGGGAGGGGTCGAGACGAGGGTTCTCAGGGGCCGAAGTCCGAACCGCCAGTCTGAGGAATGTGTTTAAGGAAGGTGGGCCGAGAAGTCGTCGTATCTCTGCTAGGTATTCTGTATCAGGTCACTTCTGTGCAGTTCGTCACATGCGGTACCCGGTTGCCAGCCATGCGGTACCCTGTCAGAGCGATTAGGGACTCGTGCTCACATGCTTTCCCCGTGACCGTTGTCTCACCAGCCCGCCACTAATTGGAACAGCTCCAGTAGTCAAAAATATCTGACAGAATCTGACACTTGTAAAGTTGCCTGTTTGCCCTCTACTTCTCTACATTGTGTTTCATTAAAAAGGATAAAGAAAAAACAATACAACACCCTCCAATCATTGAATCATACGCTGGCCGAGTGTCGGTATGCTTTGGGGCACAATCCTCAAGTCGCCCTTGAGAGCAATGCCTTGGCTCTCCAGGCTATTTGAAAAGTTTTGCCATGACAACAAGAGAGCAAAAAAAATGTTTGTTTAGCCCGCTCCTACTTAATTAAGTAGGCGACCACATAACTACGTAAGCGAAAGTTCGCTCCTAGCTACTTAAGCTACTCCATATGGACGCAGACTTATGTTCATTGTCCAGACAGGTTCTGCTGCTATTTTAATGGTCTATGACTGCCATGTATTCTGCTGCAAGACTACAGAAACTCTGACATGATCTGCCATGCAATTGGATTGCGCTTCCTGCTTTGGAAATCTCAAACACTGCAAAAGTGTTTGAGAGCATTCAAAAGCGAAAGTGCATCGTGACATTTCTGTAATTATGCAAGGTGCTATTAAAGATTGTCTTCCCGCAGTCCAAGCCAACATATACAGTGAAGAGCCTGCAGTTGGTCAGGGAGTTCTTGCAATGCCGTGAGTGCGCCCTGTGGGCGAACACAGGGGCGTGTCACCAGAACTAAATTGACGATACATCCACCAGGACCAGGACCCAATCCTACCGCCACGCGCTGGCCAACTTGCTTTCAAATAATTTCATCTAGTAGCCCAACTTGTATGAAAAGGCCCAAGGAAGAGCGGAGCCACATGAGTTGCCCGGGCACCTCACGGGAAAAAGCCAGTGACAGATCCAACATCGAAAGTATCTTGACCAATACACAGACATCTCCAATATGTGTCCAAGCAATGAGCATCAATGAGCAATGTGTGTCGACCTGCTGCTGCAGCTCCTGCACATAGCCGGCGTCAAGTAAGGTGTCTCTCTTCCTGACGCATGTCTGACGGCTCGCAATGGCAAATGGCCTTTCTTGCAATTCCCCACGACACAGAAAGCCCGGATGAATCTGCTTTTTCCCTCGCGAATCGAATCGGTGTGCGGAATTTTTTTGAGCTGGTTGCGTGTCAAGGGTCACCTTCTCAAAGGAGTTGCGCACCACATCCGAAAGCGGCTCCCTGGGCCTAAAGAAGTTCTCTCATCGGCATGTCTTGAGTTTTCCAGAAAAATGTCGTGTTCATGTGAAAGGATCGGACAGCAAGTACCTCTTTCTCACGTCCAAGTAGCTCTTTATGGTGCCCATGTGGCCGGTCCATCGCCTGTCAGAGTGAGGAAAGAAGCAAATTCCAGGGTGACAATTAGAATATGGAGGATATATAAATATATGATATGACATGTACAGTCTGGAGCTTGATGGTGCGGCGCCAATCATTTTTTTGAATGCTTTCCAACATCATTGCGCCGTATTCTAACTGCATGTTCATATTCTAACTTCATGCAGGCTAGAAAACCCTACTACTCGAAGATGTCCTTAGGTATCTAAGGAAAATTCAATGGTTTCATATTCTAACTGTTGGTCCCCCATAGTAGCTGGGTGGACGCAGCGTGGAGTTCTTCACTTGCAGCTGTGTGCTGTGGCTTCTTTCAACTGGCTCCGATTGTTCTACAAGGTCAAGAAGCCACCTCAAAGTCGTCTCCAGCCACACTGCATCGCCCTCCTCCTGTCGAAGAAGCATTGAAGACACCTACACATGGGATTCCCCTTTTGCTCATCCCTCCTCCTTCTGCAATCTGTTCCTTGGTACAACGGAAGACATCTCCGCCTTTGATCAAACATCCAACATCCTCCGCGCATCATCGAAAAAAGTCATTGAGAAGCAAATAGAAGCAAGAACCCCCAGTCAATCAAGATTCATCCAAGTCTCTATCAAAGATCTGCGGTGCTCGGGAGCGCTCCCGCCTCTGTAGAGGTCAAGAGAAAGAAAAACAAATAATGGAAGAGATGACATGCATATAGAAATCAAAAGGTGTGCAACAAGTGTCCGACATGAGAGAATGACATGCTCATTTGTCATTCTCAATTAATTCCGTCTACCTGCTAAAGGTTGTCCACCATCCATGCCTGCGCCTGCGACATGCGACATCGGCATCTTCAGTGAAGTCTAAGCCAACCCTCTGCCAACTTCATTTAGTCTTCCCTAGCAACGTTGGCTTGTTGAAGAGAAAAGTAGGACAGCTCGCAAACGCTCCTGCAAATGATGTCCGCATGATTGATGTATATCGATATCCATTCCAAGAGTGCATGTAGAGAGCTGGCGAAAGGAATATTGTGAAGACACACAGTCTTGCAATGGAGTTGTGAGGAATGATTCATGTTTTGAATCAAAAGAACAACATGCTGGCCTGCGGACCCGGCAAGGGCTGGCGAAACAATGCCACTACGTTTCACTGAGACATGCTCTCGGTTCTATGCTGCTTCTATGTTGTTCTATGTCTAGCCAGTCTAGCTGATTAGAAAGCTGCTACAGTGGGAGTCTTTGAGTCTAGCCTGTCCAATGTGCTGAGCTTTGGAATTGCTTCAGTTCCCACTCGGTTCTGTGTCGGCCGACGAAACACCCGAGATCCCAACAAGTCATTGGCGTGAAACACATGGAGTCTGCCCGAGATCCCAACAAAGACCAGGCAAAATCCATGACTTCGGCTGGGATCCCAGTCCTCTTGGTACCTTGCACGAGACGAGTCGAGGACTCTTTGGATTCGATGCTTTTCGGTCTCACGAGTCATCGACACGTTTTTCTGGTCACTGTGACACGTCTGATGCAAAGGAAGAACCAGTGACACCTGAGAGGAAGTGTTCGCGAAGAATATAGATAGAGCTGAGTTTAATTAAGTTACACAGACTTCCGCAAAGATCAACAAGAGGGAAGCACCTTTGACCATTGCATGGTGGATCCTACCTCAAACCTTCAGCTGACCCCGTAAGACCAGCTGGGAGGCGTACTTCAGCAGCATACTGAAGCAGGGTGAAACAAACAAATGTTCAACGGAAAAAGGGGCAGCAAAAAGCCGAATGCTGCACGTATGTCCTTCCCCAGAAGGACCCACCTCCAACCACCGATCACATGGAGCTGCACGCCAGGGTTAGGTGAAAATACAAATCAATACAAATCATCTGCAGGAAGTTTTGCTTCTTTTGCTCCCTCGCTCCTGGCCGTACTACTAGGAGCAAGGACGCTACTAGGGGCTCCCTTTGATCAAACATTCCGATTTCGGACCCCACGCTTCGGCACCGCGGTGAGGAATGTCCGAGTGCCTGGCACGCATGGCACGTTGGTGCCGTGTGAGTGCCCAGATGGCCAGATGGCACAAATTGAATTCGACTGGCAACCAACTCTCTGTAGCTTCTTGGCTCCGATACCAAATGATACCCAGCTCCGTCCTTCAAACACAACCAGCTAAAACCAGCTCCATTCAGCTTCTTTAGATTGAGGATCCAACAAAATCACCAGCCTGGGGGTTGTGCTGCCCCGATGACTCTGCTGGTTCTTCGGGCATTCACATTCGGGCGGGTTATCCCCATAGCAACTCACTTGACTTTACAGTGAATCTGTGTCGTGACCGCGGGAATTCCTGAATTCATCAATATTCATCATACGTATAAGCCTGTCATAAGTTTCCACGATACAAGCGCTGCCACGGCTGAGACTGAGGATACCAGGATCCTCATTGTGACGCGAGTGTGCTTTGTTCATCCCAAGCTTTTGATCACAAGGTGTTCCCATAGTACCGGTGCAAAAAGAAGCGAGAAGACGTGCTTGTTAAGTAGAACGGCTGAATGAAATGCCAGCCTCACCCTTCAAATGACTTCTGTGCAAAAGCACGCAGCATGGCTACCTGAAGTCAAGAGGTCCAATCCTGGATCCTTCCCCTGGAGTCTCCACCAAACACAAAAAAAAGCAGTTTCTTCGAAGTGCACCTCAAGAGGTGAAGCAAAGCTTTCCCAGACCTACAGATCTGCACCAACGCGGTGTTAAACAACGATCGCATATCTGATGATGATGTGAAAAAAAAACTCCAAAAATTGACCTGTACTGTTCAAAGAAAGCATCTACAAGAACCGCTGAGTTTGGGGAATGTGGTGCCAGTGTTTGCCCGGCTTCACCATGAGGCTTTGTCTGAGGCCCTGGCTGCTCTTCCACAGTCCTGCACTGGGGAGAACCTTGGCTCTGGATGGATTCTGTGGGTCCGTGGGGCGGGTTCCTTGCCGAGACCAAGCCTTTCCAACGCTTTGGTCCACCCCTTGATGCAATCCCAATGCTCATATAGCGTTCAAATGCGTTCAATATCTTTCAATTACAGCAGCACATCCGGTGAACGGGAAACTCAACAGTAGAGCGATGAGGGCTTCCGGGCCTTTTCAGCCTGGTACAGCGGTGGACGGAACCCCCGCTTCGAGTCGGAATGAGCTTCACCCCACTCGGCCCCGGTGCTCAAAGCCAGCAGCGCGCTGGACCCGAGGAAGTTCCTGCGCTCGTCGCTTCACTCGTCGCGAAGAAGTTACCTTCCGGACCGGGTCAGCTACGAGTGTGCATGAAGCTGCACAAGGTGCTGTCTGTCCTCCTCGCACGGAATATGCCAAATCCAGGGAACCTGTCGCTTTGCAAAGGCACCATCCAGTTGTCTGACCTTTCTTTTCTGGGCCAGCCGCGAAGTCTCCTTTGTGTCCCTCGCGAACCTGGTCTTTCCGAGGTGCCGACACTAGCATAGCGCTCAGCGATGCGCAGCATAGCTCTCAGCTTGCGACTTGAAGCAAATCAAATGAAGCTCGTTCACCTCAACAAATGGCCAAAGCCACCAGACGTTCAAACCGTCCACTGCTCAAATATGGCTCACATGCCCAGCCTTTGGAACGTTCATCCACCTCGAATGTACCGTCCCGTCTCAAAAGGGTCTGAAAGTGATTGGTGGTCAGAAATCACTAAAATGGCCTAAACCCCAAACAGTGAAAAGAAGCCACGAAAGAGAATCGGCCTTTCTTTGCACTCATGTTTGGGCAAAACCTGTTTGCAAAAAAAACATGTGGGTCGTCGCGATCGGTCTCCAACATCCTGGGGTAGCTGTGGTCATTTGTTTCAGCTGCTCTCGCTGAGGTCAAATGCTGCTCTCCGCATCAGCTCCAGTGCCGCGGGGCATGTGCGCGTGCTCATGGCAGAAATGCAGGAAATGGGAATGGAAATGATGCCCGCAGGTGGCTGCTTCTCTTTGGTCTTCCCTGTATTTTTTCCATAGACCCCCCAGACCAGAAGTGCAGAGTTTGGACCATTTTCTGAGGCCAAAGATCGAATTTGCTTCCTGCCCGCCATTGAGAGCGGGGGTTTGCCAACTGCTAGCTCCCACCCATGTGTGCATCTGGCTTGAAATGAACTTCTGCTTCATCTCTGGAAAGAGTTCTTTCCTGTCAAATTAGAAAAAAGAGATCGCTTTGTCTGACATTCAAGAAAGCAGCTTTGAACGAAAGTTTGCATGGCGACCCTGTAGAGCCTGAAAATGGAGAAATGTCAACAAAACCATTTGAGTATGGGGTCGGCATAGTGACTCAGCGATAGATTCACACTCAGGATCCAAGTGAAGTTCTTTTCTCGAGCACATTGACACGTGGCAAACGAAACAAGTACTTCCCTTCTGAACTCAGGGTTTCCATCTGAATTCGTTCCAGCATGGAAAGAGCGGCATTGATGCCAGTCACAGAAAGGCACTCAAATGTCGCTGTGAACCTACCAGCTGCAAAGGCTGTCGTTCACACTGAAAGGCCATCAACTACCTGCCCCCGCCTCTGCTGCATCTTAATAGCCCACGGCAAAGCCACTTTTCCAATGGAACCGGGAGGGTGGCAAGCGGCCAGGCAGACTGCGAGCAGGGGAAGCAATCAATCACTTCCAGTGACGTGGTAATCTCTGGGCTTCCTGGCGCAGGATTCTAGCCCTTGGACTGCCTCTGCTTTGGCCACATCTGCCTGCCAAACACGGTTATTCCCTTCGAAAATTGCTCGTGAGCATTGTCACCCCACCTGGGTTTGATTCTCAATGGCAATGATATCGTGCTGGTCCAAGATTCGTCTGGCCTGAACCAAAATCTCTGAACATCAGACGAATCGTATCGAATCGTCCATTTCATTGCAATGAGATCCTCCATCCGTCTCAGTTCATCCGCCTCCATGGACTCATTTGCAGCCTCCAGGGCAGCCTATGGACGTCCAGAACGAGCGGAACCGAACCGAAGGGTCCGTTCGTTCGGCTTAGAACTTGTATTTCCCATCCACCTCCGCAGATTCCTTTGAGAGCTCGTTGGCCCTCTCAGCATGTTTCCATGCCTGCAGCTTCTTGCAAAGCTGAGAAAGCATCAGACCCTACTGAGTCCCTACTGTATTCATATGATCCATATATATATATATATCATATATATATAGTTCACTTATCCTACTATCAGTTTCATGCATTCAGCAGAACTGCTGGTTTGTAGCTTTAGCCCTCATGAAGCTGCGACCCTTCTCTGCAGTCATTCTATGGCCAGCTTCTACGGATGAATGCAAGATAGTTTGCTTGCAGAGTTGACTTCTTTTGTTGGTCTTCGCCATCTTGATGAGTCCTCCGGATTGCGACCTTCGCTCTGTTTTCCCCATCACCTTCGCTTGGGGCTTCTGCTCAAGTCCAAGGCGGACCCAGAGCCTCCCCTCCTTCTAGATCACATATGGAGGTCCGAAATGCTTTGCCCGGCACATGGAACTGACCGACACTTCCCCGGCCTCATGTATCGCATGCTCACGTGCCTCAGTACAGATGAGCGACGGCAGTCTCTTTCCTCAAACCGACCAAGTGGACAATGACCGTCCCAAAATGTCGAACACAAACCAAACCAGTTATAAACCGCAAATGTGTATATATATATATACCAAACATATAACCCGTTGTACCAGTAACTCAGTTTAAAAGTGCATGCAAACCAGTTGTTTAAGCCCATGTTTCTGCGCTTTGCGCAAAGCTGATGAGTTCCTCAGGCAGTATCAGAGTAGGCAAGTACGTCTGCTGAAGCTTCCTTGGACTCGTCCTGCCAAATCGTTTCTGAAGGGAACCCCTCCAGATTTACTCTGATTGATATTGTTCATGATGATGAACGACTCAGGACGTCTCGTCAGCGCACCTCAATGTCCTGCTCCTTCAGCCGCTCTTTTGCCTTGGAGCAAGGAAAACCTTCTCATCAGCTAACATGACCTATCTTCCCTGTCTTCATCTTGTAGCTCCAGCCGTTTTGAGGATGGGGCACATGCTTGCTCCAGATCAGGGCCTGTCTTCTCCTTCCAAGCAATCCAGAAAAAACAAACACAACTCACAACTCCTCACAACTGGGTAATTTCCTAAATGCACAACTTCAACTTAAGAATGGAGGCTTTGCTTGGAAAGGGCCTCAAATGAAGTGAGCATTCTTCTTCGTGCCAAACCTGCCAAATGACAACATGATGCGTTATTCCAGCAGGGCCTTCACATGTTCGAAAGCTTGCCATTTCGTGCCTTCAGGAACTTGGCAAGTGTCGAAGGAGCGATCCTGACTTGCAAGAGAGCCAAGCCCGGCTAACGTTCGCGTCCATCAGGATCATCGAACATCATCAAACTATCGATGATATGGATGATGATCCAATATATATATATATATGTATATTTGTTATTAATGTATACTATATGTATACCGTATATATATATATATCCACCATCAAACATCAAACTATCCATGTCCAGCATCCATGGACAGTTTTTCCCACCTTCGACATGCAAAACGCCCACCTCACCCACGCCAAGGGAGGCGAAAGAGCTCAGCACGCGCGGCATGATGGTCACACGGGTCACCAAAACAAATGACCCGTGTCGGTCAGTGGTTCGTATCACACAGATTGTGGTATGTTCGACTGGCAATCTTTGGAGCCTTGGCATGGCTTGGCATTGCTTGGCCTACTTGGGCTGGGTGTTTTTGTTCCTTGATCCAGTGTTTCAAGCCTTCAAGGCTCGCCATTTCCACCTTGGGCCCACAGGAGTCCAGCTCCGTGAGACATGCTCATGCTGATCAACTCAGATGAGAAACCCAATAGCAAAGCATCAACCAAAGGGGTCGCACATCTACCAGTTTCCATCAAGACCCAAGAAAGGGGGTCAAGATCGTCAAGATACCACCCAAACACAATACTGTACAGTAGACTCCTGATTACAATAAAAAGCATTTGGATTGCAAAACCTCTTAGAGGTAGAGGTGCTACAAAAATGGAGGTGTTGCTATATATTAAAATATCATCAACAGTCAGTCTACATTAAGTTACGAGACAACGACCGTCGAACAGGCTGTCTGTTCGTCTTTGGAGGTGGCAAGTCACGTCCGGAAAGAACGGTTGGTCAATTTTCCATGCAATCGCTATCCCCTAGACTCTAGACCAAGCCTTGGGCTTGGAGATTCTCAAAATGCAACTCAGATGCTTGCTGTACCATTGCTCCACAGGCCATGATGAATCATGGTCTATCACTCAATAATTCAGTCTTGAGCATTTACGCACATCAAAAATTGCAATCCGGTGTATATATATATAGTGCTATGAGGTTTCAACCCACCTTTGACAGCAGCATCTGACCGAGCTGCCGGTTGCCGGCCACGTTTCGATGCATTAACAAGTGCTGCAAGAGACATGCAGACATGCTGCCTACGGCAGCCGCGGCAAACTTGGCCTAGCGGCTTCGACCTACATGACCGATCATGACGTGAGTGCCATGCTCTCATCACGATATTGCCTTCCTGATCTTCCTGGCAATTTCTCTTAGTAAGTTGGTGAAGTCCTCATCATTCCTTGGGCTCCGCTAGCAATTCACATGCATATGAGTCGTGTAGCCTTCACACTTTCTGGCTGACAATGTCGCACTCAGAAACATCATGCTTTCGAGCTGGAGCTAATACGAACGCGATGGTAGCAGGCCCTCAGCGAAGTCAGTGTGCCGCTGTCCGGTGCGAAAATCAAAGAAGTGGTAATCAACAAAACTTTTGTGGGTGTAGGTCAAAATCAAGGACCGCTCATCGACCCCAAAAGGAACAGATTTCTCTGGCCAATCTCCGCAAGCATGTTCATAAGATTTCATAGGCCGTTCTTTATGTTTTGTAATGTTCAGTTTTGACTCGACTTTGGATACACATCCAGCTGATTTTTTGATGGCCAATTTGACAAATTTGGAAAGCCAAAAGCATGGTTGCTGGGCCCAGCACGCACACAGCGGTACCTCTGTATCATACAGCCGCACCCCAGGCAAAATCCTCTCTTCGACCTGACATAAAAACTGTAGTGCCGAACCCGCCTGTTCGGAAACCCTCTGTCTGTCGAGGAAAGGCTAATAGCGATGGCCTTGTGCTGCAAACTTTAATCCCTTACATCTTCGCAACAAAGCAGCCTGCGATGTACCAGCATCCGGTGCCCTGTCTGTGGCTGATGGCGACGTGGGGCATGTCATGGCCCCGCTAGCCTGACAAAGCATTTGCGGGTGAGACATTTCGACACTCGCCATGAAACTGAAACGTTCGAGGTTTGGATACTGTGACAACACTCTAAAAAAAACACATACATACATACTATACATACACACTCTGACAATTGTATTCAGTTAGCTCAATTCCCACGATGGGAAGGATGGCGGTGGAAC